TGTGTGTGTGTGTGTTTGCATGAAGAGGCTCGGGCTCAAGGAACATGTGGACGACGCGACAAGAGCCTGTGTGTGCGTGTGTGTGTGTGACTCTGTCTCCCTGTGTGCGTGTCTGAGCGTGAAAAGGCTTGTTATCTCTTTGCAGGAGATGGAGAGGATGGACGCGGTCGTTGCGAAGTCTGCAGCCTACACTAGGATTCTCGTGCTGCCGTTACATGCTGCTGCATGTTGAGTGCTTTGACATGATCCGAAAACCGAGGTGTCTGACTCAGTATCTGAATTGGCCGCGCATCGGTCGCGAAGTGGAGTTCTTCTGCTCGCGGACGCTCGTGTCAAGGGCATCTCAGCTGTCCCAGCCGGCATGTAAGCTTCAGGCCCCACGCACACTCAGACTCCCTGCTTGCCATGCGACAGCATAAACTAGCATGCACGGCATTCCGTTGTAGTAAGCAACAGTTTTTCTACTTTTTGCTCTGCGTTACCTACCCAACATGCCGTGAACAAGTGGCCAGAGCAAGTGCCGAAGCCTCGTCGCGGCATGACAAGTAGCTCGGCATAGCCGGGCTGTTGAACGGAGCAGGGCAGTAGGTAGATGGGCACACAGCAGCAAAGATGAACATGAGCAGCAGCCCTCAGGAAGCAACAGGTCCTGTGCTTTGTGGTATCTCCTGATCAAAGACACGTTAGATCCAAATAGCCTTTGCCATCTGGAGGGGTGCGTTGTGATGGGTTTGCCGGTTGACTCGTGCCGCAGATGCTGGCATTGCGACGCAGCTTACAGCCCCCCGCGCCTTCGACAGTCTCAGGTTATCCTCAATGCAGTGGAGCGCGAGCTGTCTGTGGTTGTGCAGGGCAGCGCTGCCTCTGAGGTCGTTTTGGTGTGGACCTCGAAATTACGTAGTTCTGCAGCAAGCGATTCCGTGACGTAGGGCAGAGTTCCATGTATGTCCTGTCAGGGAGCGTACCGCGTCGGCTATGAGCTTTTCGAGACCAGGTATAGGAGACTGCTTTGAGCATGCAGCTTCAGCAGCTCTTCCATGCCTCCTGATCGCCTCAGCGGAGAATGGGTTTGCCCACACCGTGCCGGAACTGGTTCTGACGCAGCTTATGCAGAGTCTGTCTATTTGTTCTGCAGGACGAAGCCGCTGGAGATCTTTGCGGATTGCCGTGAGCCTACGATAAAGACTTGGACAGCAGCCAGCAGCCAGATTTCCTTGCTCCTTATATCACGCCCAGACTTGAAGCAGCATGCGGCCCCCTCCTCATCATCTTTCATACCACACCACCACCGGTGCTGCGGTCACAATCCTTATCATCCACCTATCCCAGCTCCCCATCCTTGTCGTTATCACCATACACGTCATCAGCACCCCTACACTCTACACTCGTCCCACCTCCGCTCCTCTCTGCCTGTTCTGCTCCTCCTCATCCACCTCCTCGTCCTTATTGTCATCCTCAGCCTCATCCTGATGCTCGCCCGCGAGCTCATGTGAGCAGGCTTCCTTGCCAACTGTCTCAGTTCAGGTGGCCTTCTGGACCCCGATGTTCTCCAAAGGCCACAGGTGCCCGGATGCGTGACAGCACCGCCGCTCAATCAACCGAGTCGGATGCCTTAAGTCAGACTTCTCTGCCGGAAAGAGTTAAGCTGCTGAACAAGCTGCCCCACTCATCTTGTGGTTCAGGACTGCAGCTCCGAGTTGTGCTACATTACATGAGATCGCTTCTGCCGGACACACAGGTGCAGTTTATCCTCAATGCCGAGATTGATGCTCAGCTCTTTGACTGCACTGGGCGCGCAACGTGGGACTTACTATGAGTTGCAGAATTTTCCTTGCCCCTGTTTGGAGGCTGCATGGTGGCGGCTTGACGCCCGGAGCACTAATTGCAGCTGTGAGGAGAGGAAATGAAGTTCAAAACGCACAAGAGCACCAGAGTTCTCAGGGAAGCCCTTTGTGCGGAGGAGCCTTTGCCTTCATGGAGAGGAGAAGTCGCTGATGCCGAACCTACCTTAGGACCTTAGTCTGTGGTGCACAGCAATGCTTCAAGCGAACCCAAGTCTTGCAGCTGAGGGGAAGCCAGCCGAAAGCATACTTCTGGTACAAAGGTCTGGTGGCAGTCCTGAAGGCCACCGGAGCCGCCATTGTCAATACATCCTACATACTTGAGCCAGTTCGTGGTACCAGGATTTGGGCTGGAGCAGAGAAGAACTGGAGATTCTTGGGCAGCAACTACGTCGTAACTATGTTGCGAGACAGCTAAGCGCACTCCGTCTGCGCACCCGAAACTGTTACACTCGCGAGGCCTTCAAAAGGTTGGTTGCAGAATCGGTGGGATGAGCTGACTGAAAGCTTGCCCCCTACATTCTGCCGTCTCGTGCGGAGACTAAGCTTGGCGAAGCCTTACACTAACATGCACGTGCTTGGGTGAGGATGTGATCTTTTCGAGTGCGCCGCTTCCTTGCAATGCAGAAGTCTGCAGACATGTTGTGTAGGGTCGGGGTAGCTGCTGGGAAACAGTTCAGGAGTTTTCCTGGCCAGCAAGGCTTGCTTGGGGACGCCGCATTCCACACTTGTGTCGTGTCATTTTGTCTCAAGCTTAAGCAGCATCAAAAGCCGCGGCATTGGCAGTGTCTGCACCGTTTCCGGCTGAGGCAGGGAGCTTGCAGTTGCGAGAATGTGCCCTTTTCAGGTAGACTAGGAGATCAGACAGCTGTTCCAGAGACAGGTTCAGGAGAAGGAGGGGTCTAGCCCAAACAATACTTGTTACTGGTGGCTTACCAGCTGACCATCACACAGTAGTAGCATAGAGATACAGAGTCCAGACTGTTGAGAAAAGAAGGGCTCGTGTGCAATCGCAGGCTACGTGGAATTGCTGCAGTGGCATGATCAAACCTTTGCTGGGGAAAGATGTTCGCGTTGAGTCGGAACATTGGGTTCAGCGGGAGTCGAGAGTGAAACTAAAGCCAGACCCGGGGCGACTCTCGGGAAACGTCAACAGCTCAAGCCGGCAAACGCGAAACGTGGCTCCGGCTGAAGGGCTCTCACGGCAAGGGAGGAGTGCATGTGCCACATGTGCTGGCTTAACAGAGAAACTCCGCTTAGAGGTTCGGGGTTGTTTTCGGATCGGCAGAACAAAGCAGCCCACAGGAGATGCGACCGCTCAGGGCAAGGCAGTCATGAGGCCATGGAAGCAGCAGAAAACGTGAAAAGAAAACGGAACGAGAGTTTTCTGCTACGCTGGGCTAGGAGCCAGAGAGCAGATGCCAATCGATCAGCTGCATCAGGTCCAACATGGGACTTGGCGCCAACCAGCTACTGGTGAGTTCCTTTGCGGACAAGGCGCACGGATCCGGTTCAGGTTTCACGGGACGTAGAAGCATACTTCAAAAAGGCATGTCCAAACGGTGGTCGATTGGAAGAGTCTCAGAATGAAAAGCGGAAAAGTTTTCTGGCAACGTGCAGACGGAACGCGATAGCAAGGCCGGCAAGGCCCCGAACGGGCGCAGCACTGGTACCCGTGTAACGTGAGGCAGAAATGGATGAGGTGTAGCGTTTGGGAAATCGTGGCATTGTCTACAATCTATAGAGCCTGTAGACATGACCATCAGATGTCAGGCTGGTGACTGTTGCGCATATCGAGGTAATTGATACTCACTTTTGCAGGGAGAGCTTCCGACTTTCTGAGACTGTTGTAATCCAGGCAAAGGGACTGACATTCGGTGCTGGTCCGTGCATGCCAAATTCAGGGGCTGGAGCTGCGTGAATACTATGCCGCGGCATGCGGCCATTGCCAGGCAGTGGTCGGATTCGTGGAACTTGCGAGTGAGCCGACAAGCGTAGCCATACTGCGTAGGACTGCTGTATTTCAGAGATGCATCATGTCAAAAGCTAGTTTATCATCACCGGTTTGATGCTTCCATCATCTTCCATCTTTGCGAGCATGGTCAACAGCATCGCCAACATACATATTGCATGACCAGGCCTTGGCGCCTGCGTGGAAAGCGGCACAGAGTGCCTACTCGGGCCCTGTCACATTCCGCGGCTCGGGCTGGCTTTGACGTCCGATGCCACCTTTTGAGAGACCGATCTCTAAGGCCAGATCGAGTGCAATGACCGAAACTGGAATCCGGTTCCAGAGAACGCTGATCTGTGCAAGGCTTTGTGACGAAGAAGGCGCTTGCCTTCTTCACTCGGACTGAATCTTCCTGTTGCCAGGATGTTCGAGCTTTCCCGACGATCAAGACACTCTGCTGTTCTTGGTGGGATTTGTTGTAGTGGAACGATCGAAGAGATGTGCCATAGCGACAGACGAACCCCAGGATGTTCAAGGACGGTGAGGAAATCTCTGATTACGATGGCAACCGCTCGAGCGAGTCATTGGTGAACTTTGCGAAAGATCACGAGCAACTCCGATGCAGTTGAGCAGAATGTGTGGCACGAGAGTCTGCTTTGGCAGAGGGCAACTGCATCGGGTGTGGGCTGAGCGATGGTTTGCCACAGTTCACATGGCTCAAGTGTTGTGAAAGGAAGCTGCTGACACAATCGATGCCAGCCTTCTCATGCTTGTTGGGGCCACCGCCCACTCGCCGTAGGTCGGCTGCCCCTCGGAAAAGAAGAATGTTTGGCGGTTGTCCAGCCATTTGAAGTTCCAGCACTGCTGCTTTCTGATACCGCTGCGTGCGCGGCCTGGTGCTTGAACCCACGCTGGCAAAAGGCAGACTTCCTTTGATTCCACGAGGGCTGAACTTCTGCGATGGTGCCTCGGACACTTTGTGGACCCTGTCCCCGCAACGTCCCCGTGCACGCTGTTCTCCCACCTGCGTGCCTCAGCCCATCCATCCGCCTAGGTGACATGCATGGCCAAAGGAGTCTTTCACGGCACAAATTCACTTACAGTGAGCGCAATCCCTGGACGGAGAAGACCGCGACAAGTGAAATCGGAATGACGCCTCTCTGCCCTGTCAGCTGCCCTGCAGTCTTTGCAATCTGGCTCCGCAGATCCTTGCAGGTACAGCTCTGCCGAGGAAGTCGTGGCATTGGTCCTTCGCTTGACGAACGGGGGCTTGTGGAAGGCCGCTAAGCGTCACATCAGCGCATCACGCATCACATGAGACATTACGGCGGGCAGGCCGCCACCAAGTCATTACTCTTGAAGACCGGCCAATGGCTCATTTATCGCACTTGCAGCGCGTGCATTGAGTTCAACATGTGCGGTTCCAGCTGACTCAGGCATTTGCGGTTATGCAAGCTGCCATGGAGCTGCAGAGAAGGCGATTCTGGCTGCTCTGCAGTAGCTGAGCCTTCAGCACTTGGGACATGCATCGATGTCTGTGCCGCCGGCTCAGGCTGGCAAGTTGGCGAAGGAGTGGCATGGTTGCACAACCGCACACCTGATCACACCTGTCTGTGTGTATTTATGTGTGTGTGTGCGCGTGAGAAAAAGCAGATATACATTCCAGGGTCTCTGTCTCTGTCTCCCTCTCTCTCTACCTACGTATCCGCCGACTCGCCCACGTGCCTGCCTGCCTGCCTGCCTGCCTGCCTGCCTACTTGCCCGCCTACCTAGCTGCCTGCTTGCCCTACATACCTGCGTATAACATCTAGCATCTACTGCCATAGCAACACGCAGAAATCATGCACAATAAACGCGAATGATACTTCTTCCATTCCGAGTTGGACCGTTTCCCCTGCAGACCCATCAAACATGTCTCCGAGGCTTGATGCCTGCGACATTCTTGATCTCACTTTTGTGGGAGCCTCAGCTTTGATGTTTGGGATTCGGGTCGCGCATTTGGCTGTGTAAGGTAAGCCAGAAGTGCCACTGGCCAGCTGATGTGACCAAGCTTTGGGAGGACGGTGGCAGTCCTCTTCCCGGTGTTTCGGAGCAGATCTCAAAGCCACCTGCATGCAGGAGCATGCATGTGCGAGTTCGCCTGAGGGGCAGGAGCCTCGAGAGACATTTGAACGGTTGCAGTGTGGCATTGTGGGCTCTGCTTCGCTTCAACGGATGGGCGCATGACCAAGGCCGGTCGTCCTGCCCGTCTCACAGGTGATGCGATTCATGGAAGCCTTGGTCTACGATCTCGCCGAGGATAAACGGATAAACTCTTCACGCTTAGGCTCGTTACAGCATGATTCTTGGAAAGCTGTGCGCCTTCTGCGACACGTCTATTCGCCCGTAGTCTCCCACAATCCCACAGGAGAAAACAGAAGAGTCAGGAAAAGAGGCCGCGACTCGGCCCCACAAGGCGTTTGGGGCTCTGCCGAGTTGGCCATGCGTTGCAGGCGCGAAGGTTCCTACCTTTGTCGCCTTTCTCCGAGTCCATGGAGGACCGCTTTTAGGCGATGAGGGGGGGGGTGGGGGGAATCTTGCATCCCTGCACTGCCAAGGACCTCGCATGGCAGAAAGAGTTAGGCGCCAGCCGTTGCAATGCAGCAGGACTTCTGCCGGCTGGCATAATGCAGGTCGAAGTCCGGGCCTGTGGCATGTGCAGCCTTCTGGTCGCCGCAAGCTGCTGGGGCCTCAGCCGGCTAAAAAGAAAAAGGGTGGGACTGCTCAGTGCGGATGGCTTCGAGGCGCGGACTTTGGCTGGAGCTAGTGATCCAGGTCTTCGACGTGATGGCGCGAGAGCCAAGAGTTTGTCTGTGTCTCATCGATTGAGCAGCCGTTCACGGCGCGGCAGGACTGCATTCCAACGGACTTGGACCTCTTCTTCCAATGTCAGGCCTCCGATGACGAAGCCGGAGCTGCCTTGTGCATGCAGCTGTGGCTCTTCCTTGCACTGGTGCACGACCAGGAAGCTACAACGACTCTTGGTGACGTGTCCTTCATGCTGTACCTTGGCTGCAGGCGCATGGAGCGCGCCCAGCTCGTTGACTCTCCTCGCTCTCGCTCTCTCTCGCTCTCTCTACCTCTCCCTCTGTCCATCCTTCCCGGAAAGCTGAGGCAACTGGACAAGTTCAAGGAGTGGCTTAAACGTGAAGAGCTTAGACTTGACATTCAAGCTGCTGTCGCAAACCGCAGGGTGAGCAGAGATCTACAAGCTGCTGCTGCACAGTAGAGTGGTCGGATACAGTGAATAAGATGCTTGCTGGCGTCTTCGACCGGTGATCCCGGTTGTTCCAGCAGCTCCGATTTCCTGACGCACGAAAGTCGTTGAACAAGGTGACTACTTCTCCCAGCTGACGGATTGCACCTTCAACCAGTTCAAGGCACCAGAAACAAGACCCAAACGTTGCTGCGTTGCATGCCCAAGGATGCCCCGCCTGCTTGAGCAGGTCATTGTCCGCGACATGCTGAAGTGCCACATTCCGGAGAAGGCATGTGCCACTCCTCTGTGTTCTCCCCGAGCCCGAGAGTGCAAGTGCCGACATCTGTGCCTTTTAGTCGAAATGATGAGTGAGTGGGTCACCAGTCCTACATGACTCCTTTCGCCCCCAGGCTTTGATGGAACAAGTGTTCGAAGCTTGTCCCGTCATCCCAGACGATGACAAGGCCATGCTGCAGCATGTTATGTGAGGTCATTTCTTTGGTGGGTGGGTTGTCTTAGATGAGCACGTGCTTCCCCTCATGAAGGCGTGCACAGGCGTCCGCTGTAGCTGGCAACGCTAGCTTGCCAGGCTGCACGAAGCGAGCTTTGGCATTGGGCCCCAAAGCTTGCAGCTATTTAGAGTCCTGGCCCTCCTGCCAAACTGCAGCGATTGCCAGCAGCGCCGTCCCGCGCCGGGTGTCGGCAAGCCTTCAGGCATCGGCACGCCGTGAATCTGTGTTTCCGTCAGTTGTGGCTTGTGACAGGCCGTCTTAGACAGACCGAATGTGAAGCCTGTGAACGGATGTGAACTTGTCAACAGTAGTAGAAGTTGTTCTGTTGAGAGACACCCGTGTGTGTCTGGGGTCGGTCGCATACAGAGGGACAACAGCCTTGTTGATGAATGGATATCGCACTTTCGCAAGGACATGGACATCTCCCAAGCCACGGCGTTTGTCGCAACTCGGCCGAGCGAGGGTGCGGCTGCAACCGTCGAGTTTCACATGCCTGAGATGCCAGGCCCCATCCACGCAGCCAGGGCTTCTGCGCGCACCCACGCCCGGCCAAGTCGCCACTCGCCCTTCTGGGCATGGCCATGCTGGAGGCAGCCCCTTGCATCCAGGCAGCAGTTCAACTATTCTTGGGACGTTCGAATCCACAGCCCAGTCTGCCACAACACTCCTGGCCAGCTCGAGGAAAAAATGCGACAAGAGTCACCGAAAGGGCCGGGGTGCTTCTGCGTTTTAGCTGCGTTCCTGCGTATTCAGGTTGGGCCTTGGTGCTTTCGCCATGGCTGCAGCGGCGAGGAAGGCGGCCGAGGGCCAAAGGGGACACTGGAGCGGCGGCGGGGCGGGGGCGTAAAAGTATGAGGGCCGTTCTTCATGACTTCTACCGAGGTTTTGTAGTAAAGGCCATACATAAATTACGGGGCTGTTGCCGCTACCGCTTGCATGATGGCGAGAGGAGTGAGCCGAGCAGCTTCAGAGGTTCTACAGAAACGCTGTGCACCCGGTGTTTCTTCATTTCATCGCAGAGGTGCGTGCTCCACGTGCGACAACGCTGCGCAGCCTGGCAGCATGCTTCCTACCGTGCTTGTCCAGTTGGTCCTGATTGCGGTTTGTTGTCGCACCACCTTGTTGATTTTCTCGAGGCGCAAGTACAGTGGACGAATATATAGCCGAGAACGCACCTTCGACATGCAACGCAGCCATGTCTCACCTGTGCATGGCAGAAGTGTGACCACACTCATTCCCCGACTTCAGGATGTTATCGCATTCATCACGCCCACGTGTCCGTTCTGCCGGGAAGCAGTTCCAGACTTAGTCATTGGTCACCGCTGAGATGGCGGCTCTCTTGTACCCTCTGGTTTACCAGAATCTCCTGCATCCCGTTAGGTTGCGGCGTTGACGGATGCAGGCTATCCGCCCGTCACCGTGGAGGTTTCGCCTGGGTCTGACTTGAGGACCGGGTGCCGGCGTAGACCGGCATGAAGGAGAGCCCTTTTCATCGACAGTTCTCCGATGTTCGTTCGACAGGAACGAGCTGGCCTCCAAGACGAACTCCACGAGCGTGCCGAAGGTTTGGGTGAAAGGCAACTTCGTTGGCGGATGCAACGATGGCCCGCCGTCAGATTTGGGCCTAGGCTTCCATGCCTTCTATGGCTTTGAAGTTTGGCAAGAGCCGAGCGGAGACTGAGGTGGCATGGGCGGAGTGAAGCCGCTCCTGCGCAGCGGCAAGATTCAGGCTCGCTAGCGAAACTCCTAGGCGAAGCCCCTCACGGTCAGACATGGTCAGGAGCTGATGTCGTGAAAAGCGACCTGCCTGGATGCAGAATGGCATACAAAGAGGGGCTGACGTCACCTTTGAGGCGACATATCGAGCATGGCCCGTCTGTCGAAGCAATAAACTCAACCGTAACCTGTTCGGTCGTACTGCGCCGTGAAGCTCACAGTATCTGCAATCCTCTGTACTCGTAGCAGCCCAAAAGATTGGCCATGTTCGCGGTCGGCCGAGAATCACTATCACTGTGCTTTCTCCGAGACCAGCAGTAACAGCGGAAAAAGGTGCGGCGGCGAACCGGCATTGGAATTGCAGCGTGATCCCAACTTCTGTTATGGAGTATTTGCGCATTGCAGGGTGAGCTCCGAGCCATCAGCGACCTTGCAGCCTGGAGCTCGCGAGGAAACCGCAAACGGTATCGACTATTTCTGCGCCTCTGTCGACATGCGGATTTCACCTAGAAATCCTTCGGAGCATGACGACATGACCATGACCCGAGGCCGCTCTCTATGCATACACAGACCATGGCTTGTGGTCGGAAGCCTTGCGACGCAGCCTTAGTCTGCGCTCTGAGGGAAGCCTGCTCCATTCTGTTTCCATGCCATGTCTTCTTTTGACCGCGTGGCCATTGCGGAAGTTGCTCGAGACTTGCCAATCATGAACAAGGCCAACAGCCAGAGCATCCAGAAAAGCAGTATATACTTAGTTATATATGCTTATTTAGGGACCGAAAGATCAAAGGTGAGGGCGTTGCCAGCAGAGGCAGCATTGTACGCCGCTACACGGTGGAGCAGTACACCACATGGGGGCAGCCATAGGTGGAGCAGTTCGTGACAAGCCCGCAGACGAATCGCCCTGCGTCGTGCTATCGCCACACTTGTTGCCATCTCTGTACCAGCAAAGAGTGAGGCAACTAATACGGGAGACTGCAGACTTGCCTCCATGCGAAAGCTTGGAGACGACCCTCCGACGCTGCATCGCTTTCTGCTACAACGTAACTCCAGAGTGGGCACCGCATGTCCGAGTTACAGTTTATGCCGACAATGTCAGTGAGCACCAATTGAACGTGCCTGTGCTCAGCACTTTGCTATGCTGTATGGGCGAAAGAGGCTTTGAAGCCGAATCAGTTCCATGCAAGCCCATACCCGGCACGGACGTGCATGAAGGTGTGATTCGGCCGAGCGTATTCTGGACTCGACTCGTTTCTTCTGACGGCCGTCTCCATTTCCGCAGCCTGGCGCACAGCTATTTGAAGTGGTTCGTGGATCTGGAAGATACAGACTCCCGCAAGCAACTGCTGGTGAATATCCTCCTACAGATGCATGAGGCCTGCTACAACTGTGTAGGTCGACACAAAGAAGTATTTGAGTTCTGCATTTACGATTTAATGACGGCAGAGCAGATGCAGAAGCCAGCTGCCCAACCGTCCAATAGCTGCCACACCGTCATTTTCCAGCATGCCGCACGCTTCTTGGATCGGCACAAGCGGAATGCATTACATGCCGCTTATCTGAGTCCATTGAAGTACATGTTCCAGCACATCTATGAAGTTTATGAGAATTTGGACAGCCACGGATCATCCTTTTGGGTGGCGGTCTTGAGCATCTTCTTCCCTGATCTCGACATGCCTTTCGAGCGGATTGAGCAGCTGGACACTGGTTGGGGCTGGGCGGCGGTCGATTTTCTTCCATCGATGTCATCAACACCGTCGAGTATTGCACTAGACAGGTTCTCAAACCCCGAGAATCTAGGCCGAGATTGGCGCTCGCTCACGAGGGACCTACCTGCCCCATCGGCACTTCCCAGACGCTTTCGATATCTTCCAATGACTCCTGGGCCTAGAGGGTTTGAAGAGGCTTTGCGGCGCATCCACAGCCGCCAAAGCGTGCGGCAGCAGTTTGCAAGATACGTGGAACGGTTCACGTCTTTCATGCAAGAGGACAGGTGGGGGGGTGGGGGAAGGAGTTACGTCAGACTTGGTCGCCGGGCCTGTGGTTTTTTGCACAAGATACCTGGCTTTCCTTGCGTAACTCGTGTTGCCGTGCCCTCGCAGGACCTTCTCTTGAGATGTTGGGCTATGTCTGCAGTGAGTTCTGAAAGATGGGATGCTGAGCTAGGTCCAGCCCTGTCAGCCTTGTCAGAAGATACAGTAGGTCAGTTTCTGACACCCTCTGAAGTGAGGGATGCGCTCTGCTCTTTATCGGAGTCGAGCGACATCAATGTAAACACTGCCCGTGCATCGTCGTTTCTCGCGGCTGCAGGTATCACCTGGGCATAAGGAACATTGCCCTTTCTGCACGGGGTCCGTACAGCATCTCCCCGGAGCGGGCTCACACTGGACAGCGCAAGAGGCGTCGCAGAAAGGACCAGCCCATAAGCAGCGGCAGAGTTGTGAAATCGTACTGTAGTGCACGCTCGCGGCTTCTGCAAGGTCTCGTTGCCAAGCGCCTCCTACCCGCAGGCTGGCCTCACGGCGTACACGAGCTAGCACAGAACCACGCAGTGAGAGCGTATGCCTGCCGGGTATGAGGTGGATACACTCATTGCGAAAAGAGCTTTCATGCACTTGCTTGTTTTTTGCACAGGAAACTCCCGAGACTACGCACTGACTCACCTCGAAGATGAGTTTGCGGCAGCCCCGGAATGAAGCCTACTCATGCCCACTGAAACGGCCGCAGCATGCTGTAGAATCTGGTGTGCACTCTCAGCGGTGCTGGTGCCACATAGGGACATAGGGCAATCGAAGCCGAATATCACGAAAGCTTTCAGGATTGTGGTGAGGGACAGGGAATAGGAATTCTCGCCTGCCTTGTGCGAGTGGTGAGAGTGGAAAGCCTGTCAGTACCCAGCAGAAATCGGCCCCGGCATGTGCGATCGCAAAGCGCTGAATTCAATGCAGCTCCGGAGCCCCAAGGAAGCAACTGATGTTGCGAAGCGAGGCGTCTTGTCTGTCATGGAGGCTCGCCGGCAAGGGCCTACGAGATGGAATGATGACGTGTGAAACGTGTCATCTTAATCGTGGTTCCCTATCCTTCTATCTATCTGCGTGTTTCTGCATCTATCCGTCTCGTAAGACCGTCTCAGTGGTCTCCATGGATTGAGCACACAGCTTGGGCCGGCTTACGTGCAGCTTCGCACGTGGGCTGTCCTCCTGCAGTCGCTGGACTTGCTTCAGAACTTGGCGGTTCCGGGATTAACTTGCCTGGGCCTGAGCTCATGCCGAAGCCGATTCCCGAGCCTTGCTCAGAGCCGCAAGAAAACGATCTGCTGCGCCTTGCTGCGCTTTGCTGCGCTTTGCTGCGCTTTGCTGGGCTTTGCTGGGCTGCTCGGCGAGGTGCCGACCTTGGAAAGCTCTTGGAGAAAGAGCTCGGCCTCGAGGTGCTCTGAGCTTCGGCCCTCTTCGAGCTTGGTCTCTCGCTCTCTCCCTCCCTCTCTCTCTCTCTCTCCCTCTCTCTCTCTCTCTCCCTCTCTCTCTCTCTCTCTCTCTCCCTCTCGTTCTCAGAGGTTCCTCGTGCTGAGCTGCACAAGTACTTCACCACGCAGCCTGACTAAGCACTTGTTGTCTCCTCGTGGAGAGCTCCACCAGTCCGGCACCCTGTGCTGACATGTCATGGCCTCCTCGGAAGCTCTGAGGATGGATGTCAATGGCGATGGTCTGTCCGAAGCTCTGGAAGCGAATCGTTTGTGTCAGATTTTGTCGGGGCTCCACCATGGAGGAACGAGAACTTTCCAAGGCTTCAAGACGAGGAGTTCATTCAGGTGGTTCGATTCTTGATGCCGGTTTCTTATTGCTGCCTTGTGCATCCTGACACAGCAGACCACAGACTGAAGCAAGGCTGGACTACTATCCCCACCACATTCTGAAGCACCTGAACTTGCTCGCCGGGCATGGGTTCGCATTCACAGCTGCTACTGGTAGTTCCTGGTTCCGAAGCTGTCGCCAGGAGTTTGCCACAGATTGCTCTTTTCATGAGCGGGGTGTTGGCTGCGATCGGCGTGGTGTTCCTTCTTGTCGGCATGCTCAGCCGTCTCAGAGCTGACTTTGACAGAAGTTTGCGTTGAGGTCACGCGCAAATTGCGATGTTCTGAGGTGACGCTCGTGATCTCATTCTTCGAAGTAGGCACCTGGCCCCTTCCCACAGCGTACGCAGTGAGTTCAAAAGAAATCCTGTTCCCGCACAGGGGAGGACATCGGAGCAACACTCCATGGGGGCTTCAGCGGCATCTTCGGGGTCGTGGGCAAAAGGTGTTCTGGGGCAATACACTGTGGGAAGACACGTTCGCGTATGTACATGCGTCAGCAACGACGCAAGCGTGCCAGGCTCAGTGACGAAGGCATTGGCTTTGAAGACACTATGAAGAACTTAGAGCTCAGGCTGGAGGCAAAGTTCCGAACCGGCTCTCTCCGCTTCAGCTTCTCGCCTTCTCGGCAAGGCGATGATGGTCACTGCGCTGGTGACGGTCCTCGGCCTTTCAAAGGAAATGCAGGATGTGCCTGGAGCTCAGCTGGTTTTGTGACCGGGGCAGCTTCTGTGAGTTGACACGGTGTGATTCGCTTGGTCAGGTTCTCAAATGTGATTGCTTCAGCTGAAGCTCGTTTAGTCTAGGGCTCTAAGATACGCCAATGACGCGACTTAGTGCGGTTGATGTGAGCCCCTGTGCCACAACGTCACCAAGCCTACCAGCAGTCATTTCTCTAGGCATGGTACAACGGCAGCGGGCAAAGCCGAATGGATCTCATCACCCCGCGTTGGGTTTGAAACGCGATCGCCGGATTTTTGTGGGCACCAGCCCAGCAGGACTTCCGTCCTTTGATGCCCAAGAGGCCGGGTTCTTCAGGCCGAAGGTCTCAGGTGAACCCGCAAAGTAGCCTCGCCATGTGTCTAGATGCATCGGATTGATTCAAAAGCCTGACAATCCAATGTACAGTGCTTGCATGGCACGCTCATACACCTGGAGCCCAGGTCACCGTAAAGATCTTGGGTAGTAGCAGTAGGCATCTATTGCTTCTCGCTCATGTTTGGCTCTGTGCGAAAATGTAGTAGGAGTTTAACCCCGCAGAGATCCACCGAGATCTTGCTCTGCGGCCGAGCGTCTTGGCTAAAGGGCCTTCGGTTTCGATGTCTTGGCTCTGGCGTCGGCTAAGGCAGCTCTTGCCATGCAAGTAAAGGTGGTGCTCCCGAGTGGAGAGGCAAAGGAGGGCTGCAGGAGGGGAGCAGGCAAAATTTTTGGATTCTTGCACAGGTCAATGTGCCGGTAGAACCCAACTCCACCCCTGGACACCTCAAAGAAAACCTAAAGTGCGCCAGTCGTGCCGTTGTCAGACTGCAGCGCGGAATCTTCCATCAGTCATTGGCAGGTACAGCATCCGCGCACCTCCAAAGCAGATCAAGCTTACTTGCGAAGGCTTGGCACAGACCAGGGTCCGAGACATCAGGCAATAATGGCTCTGAGGTCGCGAGCTTGATGATATCAAGCCACTCGCGGGTGAGCCGAACAATGCTCTTGCCTCAGCGTCCTTTTGCTTATCGCTGTGACGATGCCAGTATCCGCCAATCGTAGGTCGCAGATGGCGCTGTGCTGGTCGCAGAGAGACGAGAGGGTGTGGTGGAGGCGCCCGAGTGGCTTCTCTCTGACGAGAAGACCCAACAGATCGTGGATCCGCCCAGGATGAGTCCTTCTCACCGAAATCCTCCCCGCCTCCGGCAATGATCCGCAAGGCGAGATGCGCAACGACTCAGATCGTGACAGAGAGCCCCAGTGCCGGTTTTTGTCACCGTCTTAGGAGGAGCCTCCCAAGCCGAAGAAGCCCAAGAAGGCAGGGCTTTTTCTTTTGTCACCCCTTTCTTTCAGCGGAGTGGTCTCTTGCGGTTCGAGGATGTGGTGAGGCCAACTTTGTCCGAGGGCCTCTCGACTGCAAGCAGATTCTATTTCTCTGACACGAGATCTTGACTAGACTCAGGAGATGTCAAGAAAGAGAAGACCCTCTCACCAGGACACCAAGGTTGGGCAGTTAAGTCTGCGTACCTTGAGGCGGGAGCACTGGACCCTTGAACACTGCTGAGATCTGCTGAGCGTCACCAGTGTTTGGAGCTTCTAGATGCATAGTCACAGGCCACACATGATCTCTCCTTGTATGTTCGGGTCTTTGGGCGTAAGTTATTGTAGTGGTTGGTTTGAGCCTGAAGGTCATTTCTGGCATTCTGAGTATGAACAGCAGGTCACGCTGTGAGGCCGTGCTCTTCATTGATGACCACGTTCCCCTCATTGTGTTATCAGATACCGTGTTCGATGCAGAATTCTTGTCCCAATCTTTTATCAGTAGTCGATCGACTTACTCCGTGTTTTTGTGTGCTTTTCTGACTCTGACCCCGACTCATTGACGCTTTCTCTTCTCCTCTCTGTCTGAGCTTGTATGCGGGCTGCGTAGGCAAAGTCAAAGAAGCGACACATGGCCTATCTGAAGATCGAGAACTGCGAGGAAAAGAAGGCTCGTGTCCAAGTGTGCGGCCAATGCCAGCGACGTTGTCCTTGGATGTCAGGCTTACCCAGAACACGAGGACTTCTCAGTTGTGTTGCCTTTGGGAGATCCGCAGTGCTCGCCGGTGTGGACAGCTGGGGCCCCAGTTTGCTGAAACGCAGCAAGACTGCCCACTCAGGGCCTCAACCTGCATCCCGTGCTGGCTCGCCAGGCGGTCGTGCAGCAGTTGGAGATCGGCGAGAGAGCTAGCTTCACGCTCTCACGGAAGGCAATGGAGGGTTGGGACATGGTGACGAGAAGGGATCTTCGCCGCAGGTTCTGGACTTCAACCCGGAAAGCCTTGCTCCAGATGACTTCTGCTCGACATGGGAGGCGTAAGTTGTGCAAAGACCACTTCTAGAGTTCGGAACCTGTGTTTGCCGGTGCAGGTGGAGCTGCTGCTCTGATGCAAATACTCAGCTTGTCATGCTCGGTACAGCAAATGTTTGGCGCCGTTGGTGGTCTGAAGTGATGGAAGTGCCTTTGTGCTCAAGGATCCGGGTGGTGGAAGTTGAGGACGTTGCTGAGGACCATGGGCTGCACATGTGCGTGAAGAGTTTTGTCGTAGTTGTGTACTCTGTGCTCTCTCTTCAGCAGTTCGTCTACAAGAGTTACTTGCCTACGATGCCACGATGGCTTGCAGGACTTCCAGCAGTTGCTTCCTAAGTTTGACTGCCAAGCCTGCTAAAGCTTTGCGGGGGTGTTGCAAAGTGATGAAGCAGGCTGCTAGAAATCGAGAGCACTGGCGGGAAAGATCGGGCGGAGGACGTCAGCAACTGTGAGCCCTGCAGTTGCAGTTGCACAGCTTACGGGCCTGTGCCGCGTCCTGTCTGTCGGGTCAGGATTTGGATGCTGCGGCTGTGCACTGGCGTGTTCGGAGGTGTCGGCTGGCAGACGGCAGTCGGTAGATAGAACAGGCATGACAGCTGCTGAAACAGGCGAAGTTCAGTGCGTAGTCTTACCATTGGACCATATTGGAGCATGGGTGGGATTTCTTGCTCCCCGTCCCGGCGACTGACTGCTAGGTGGATGCCCGAGGGCACATTTTGCATCGCCAGCAGTCGGGAACGAATTGCCATTATGCGGATCCCTCAGTCAGTCACCAGTGCCTGCGAAAGTGGAGGATATCACGGTGCCTTTTTGAGTGTAATTTATCGTTCATTGCCAGGCCCGGCTATGGTTTAGTGCCTATTGAGGATCAGAATGCATCTCGGTGGAACTTAGTGCCCCTACTACGGCAGATGCGAAGCAATCACTTTGGTGTTGCGACGGTTCTGAAACACAGGCACCTCCTGTGCAAGTTGCTGTGGGCGAAGGCTCGGACGTGATATTTTGTACTCCTAAGGTTGCATGTGCATGTCTCCTAGCATTCCTAGCTGTCTTGCTGGCAACAAATAGGAGGGTTCCACGCGGTCGGTAGTGGCCTTACAACGCAAATCTTTCTCCGGAAGTAGATCTTTTGCAACTTCTAGTGGGCGTGCTAGGTTTCCAAGCGGGGAAGACTTTGCGACCCCGGAACCGTCGTTGAGTTATCAGAAGATTGCACAACCGCCCGGCAACGAAGTTGAGCAAGCCACTTCTTGGAAACATATGTGTCTTAAGCGATGTGTATGTCCAGTGTAGATCCATCTAAGGTCTTCCAATACCTACTGTCCTAATCCTCCTCCAGGTCTGCAGGTTCTCAATGCCGACTTTCCTTCATCGCCGATGTCAGACAATGTGGGGGTTCTGTAGTAGGTGAAACCTCAGGGTAGTCGCTGGCAGCCAGGGAGTTAACAGCACACACACGCACACACCCACATACGCTCACATTCGTGCACACACGCACACACACCAATGGCGATAATGCTGCATAAGTTTGCGAAGCTGTTTTGGTGAAGAGTTTCCAATTGGCGCTCAACTTTGCAACAACAAGTTGGCTCAAGCATGGACGGTCAGTGACATGGTGGAAGGGTCTATCCACAGTATACAGCACACAGCTCAAGGTGATCGTCCGGCTGCTTCATGAAAGCCACGCGAGGAAACGACACAGTATCAGCCATGAAAGTACTGCTTTCCTGATGATTCAGAAACCAACCCCATCCAAACATCTTGAGCACCTCCAGACATGTATATATATATATTATATATATATATTATATATATATATATTGCACGCGAAGCCAGGCCAACAGGAGGCAGTGGAGCTCATCGCGGCCAGGGTTGGCCCGGGCGGCAAGGAGCGAATGGTCGCTGGGATCGGGGTGCAGCAGATTCTCCTTTATAAGCCTCGCCGATTTGCTCCCGGTAAGTCCTTTTGACGGTTTTTCGCCGGTCAGTGTTTTCTGGATGGTTTCAGGTTTCTTGGATTTTTTCCCGAAAGGTTGGGAGCAGAACCAGTTTCGGTACCTGAACCTGTCTTCGGATAGTTTCGCTCCAAGCACGTCATGTTGAAAAGCAGGCGTCCCTCCTGGGCCGCTCTTCTTGTCTGGGCATGCCTCGATAAAGAATCCAATGCCAGGGGCACCTCTTCCTGAAGAGCCAAGCCTTGAAAGCAAACCGACCAAACGGCTGCGTTGGCATCTTAGAGCCGCATGGTGTGGACTTGCGATTCTATTAGCATGTTGGCCCCGGACTGACCGGACGAGGTCATCATGGATGTGGAGCTGGTAGCGCTGGATCCGTGCCGAGGACCTGGCACACCAGGCCTGCCTCCCCCCGGAGCGCTGGGTGTCTGACCATGTCCCCAAACGATCCTTTGTCGCCCGTAGCCGCCGTTGGCTAAGTTACTTCGCATGTTGTAGCAGTGTAGCCCACGTAGTTGAACTCACGCTCGGATGCGCATGCAGAGGGTACGCATGTCAACCGGCTCCCAAAGCCAAAACAACAGAAACACTGTTTAGCACCTGCCTTGCACCGCCCTGCCATGGCCATGGTGTAGAAGCGGCAGCTCTGGTCCGATGATCTCTGTCGCATCGCTGCGCGGTTGCAGTGTTGGGGTCCGTGGAACTTCCAGTGCTTTGTGCCACTGAGGCCGAGAGTGCCATGAACACCTACAGCCTGTTGCAAGAAGGCCGTGCAATCACCCTTTCCGTTGTTGGTCCCTTCCTGGCTGGTGCTGCTGGCGTCGGTTTGCTGTGGCAGTTCGTGTGCCTTTGGTAGCCCCACACACACACACACATACACGCACTTTGATCTAGAGGGGACAGGCGGTAGTGGAGGCAGGCGGAGGCCGGCGCTTCGCTTTGTATTCCGAAGCCGAAGGTGTGTGGCCAAGCACTTGCACCGGACGGTGCGGCTGGTGCCTCGGGAAGGCCAGGGCTCCTCGCTGACCACTACGCAGCGCAGCTCCGAGCTCGGGAAGGCGTCCATGGGCTTCCGAGCCTACGAGACTCAGACGGCTGTCAATGAGTACTTACACTTCCATTATGGGCCACAGTCGGTGCAACTGCAGATGGCGGTCCAGGGTGCATCACAGGTCACTTGGGGCTTTGAGCGTGTCCTGGACGTTTGCTTCAACCATTCCGTTGGATGGGAGCATGCCTTGGACGTAGGATGTGCCGTCGGAGGAAGCACCTTTGCCTTGAGCTCGCGCTTTCAGCACGTGGTCGGTGTGGACACCTCCCATGCCTTCATCCATGCTGCTTGCTCCTTGCAGAGATCCGGCTCTCTGCCCTACATGCTGCCCGGCCGGGGGGTGCCCTGGTGGCAGTCTAGCGGAGAGTCGTCAAGCGTAGTGCTGTCTTGCTGGCCCTGGCCCGTTCTCGCAGCAGGAGAGCTGGGCATCCATCCCACGCAGTTCACAACCAGCTCGCTGCAGCTTTGCGTGCGTGGACGTCATGGACTTCATGCACTCAGGCCCACATGCACATGCGATCCAGTGTACGCTTGCCGCTTGCTGTGCACTAGCCTTGAGCTGGCCTTTGCTTTGCGTGCAAACCTGTCGAGACCAAACGGCGTTCGGTGCCCACGAGCTCGATCTTGTCCATTGGGATTGTTATTCGTTCGAAGCATGATCATCGGAATTCGTCGCGAGGGATTCAGCTGCCCGTGAAGCCTGATTGGCACTCGTTCTTGAACGCGCGGTGGAGGTCACCCTATTGGTTTGCTCTCCCCCTCCAGACTCCAGGAGAGAGAATCATATCGGCCGGGGCCAACAGTGCGGCACATCGGCTGCAGCAAAACAGAACTTCCAGTACTGTGTTTTCAAGCAGCGGCACCTTACTTTCGAAAGCGGATGCGGGGTATGCGTACTGATTTGCGGTCAGACTGGTGGCTCTCAGTCGGAAAAAATCGTTCCAAGCACGATTCATTCAGACTTGGGAACTGATGTGTGGACTCGGGCGGGGGCTGCAGGAGCTTCTCGTGCTTTCTGTCTGTGTGGCACAAGGCGATGAAGAGGGCAAAAGAGAGACTCACTCCCAGGCCGCCCTGCACTCTGGTGAAAACGAAAGAAGAGGCCCCCAAAAATGCCAAGCAGAACCGAGCACTCGTCACGAATCCTTTTCGTACCTTCTCCGTTCTGTGTTCTTCGAGCATCCTCCTACAAACCCGACTCGGGACATGTCCGTGGCGCCGAAGAAAGGAGTGTTCTGTGCCCGAAGACAGAGCTCTGGTTCTTTCATGCCCTACAAGTACGAAAGAGAACAATCGTGAGGGTAGGGCTGAGAAATGACTAACGACTTGCCTGCGCAGTGGCCCACATGTGCGCAGGTTCGCGATTCGACTTGATTTTAGCCTGCAACGTGCTGTGTCGCCTGCGGACACCACGAGCTTGGCTCAGTTCGCTTCGAGAAGCTTTGTCCTCGGATGCTGGGTTGTGGTTAAGGGATCTAACTTAAGTTGCCATAATGAAGAAGCCATATTATGTACTATAGATCCTTATTATGGGAACGTAGATTAGATTCCTTAGCAAGAACCCAGGATGGTGTCGTTGTCTTGGCTACGCCTTATGCATGGCTCGAAGCATGGACGCCCTCGGAAGTGCTTGGGATGCAAAGAGAAACTGACTTGAACAATGCCTCGTTGTTGTATTGCTATGTGTGCACACACACACACACATCTCTCTCTCTCTCTCTGTTTTTCTCTCTCTGTCTCTCTCTCTCTCTCTCTGTATATATATAAATATTTACAATCATAAATATACACATGCACACATGTATGTATACATATATCATATACCCATCTTTCTTTCTGTCTATCTATCTATCTATCTATCCACCCATCCATCCATCCATCGATCCATCCATCCATCCATCGATCCATCCATCCATCCATCCATCCATCCATCCATCCATCCATCCATCCATCCATCTACCTATCTATCTATCCATCTATCTTTCCATCTATCCATCCATCCATCCATTTATCCATCTCTCTCTCTCTCTCTATCTATCCATCCATCCATCTATCTATCTGTCTATTTATCTATCTATCTAGCTACCTCTCTCTCTCTCTCTCGCTATCTCTCTCTATCTATCTCTTTCGATCTCCCCATCTACCTATCCAACTCTCTATCCATCTATCTACCTATCTATCTACCTATCTATCTATCTATCTATCTACCTACCTACCTACCTACCTAACCTACCTAACCTACCTAACCTACCTAACCTACCTAACCTACCTACCTACCTAACCTACCTACCTACCTACCTACCTACCTACCTACCTACCTACCTACCTACCTACCTACCTACCTACCTATCTATCAATTTATCTATCCATGCATCTATCTGTCTCTGTCTCCCTCTATTTATCGTTTGATCTGTCTGTCTGTCTGTCTTTCTGTCTGTCTTTCTGTCGGTCTGTTTGCCTGTCTATCATTGTCTCTCCGTGCCTTTGTTGCATATGCAGCTATCTACTCCTGCCTGTATGCCGTATCTGACAGGAGTGGATGGGACAATGTGGCGAGGAAAGCTCCAAAGCTCTCACTTCTGTCATGCAGCAGTCGATGCCTCACGCTGGAAGTATACAGTGCTGCATCTGTTGAACGCGAACGGGGGTGGGTGTGCCGTGCGAGTCTCTCGAGGCTCGGGTTCAGGGAGTTGCACAGAGAGGAAGTTGCCTTCGTGCTGGCGCCCTGTCAGATTTTGGGACTTGATTGGCACGTCTAGCTCTTTCATCACATGCACTGAGGCGCAAAATGAGCGAATACACGAGCTCTTTGTTTCGGAGCTGACTGCCTGGAAACTGAAGTAGCAGCACTGTCTGCAAAACGGTCTTTCACAGCATCATGGACATCGATGTGGTGGTCCAGGCAGAGACATGCGTGCAAAAGGTCCAACTGAGCCAAAGTGCTTGGGACTGAGGACAAGAACGTGAACCCGAGAAGGTGGCCCAGGAGTTGCGAGGTTTTCCATGCACCCATCCCTGTCGCGGCGGGCATGAAAATTCAAGCTGTGTCCTGCGCCCCTTGCGACATGTCAAGGTATCCCTCACACACGGTGGCCCGAGCAAGCTCTCCCAAGCAGGCATAGTGACATAGACATAATCCAGCAGTGTCTGACTGCAATCTGGCATTGCTTCCACTACGCATTCAGTGGGCTTTGCACTCCACTCCCCTAGATGTGACAGAGTCGACAGCGTAGCTCAGCTGCCTAGCTGCTTGGTCTGTGAAGGCTGGAAGGGCTGGCAGAGCCTCATCCAAGAGCGCGAGACCGGTGACTCCTGGCTGGATGAAGCCGACGGCCGAAGGCATTGGCCTAAGACAGAAGTCACGCTGAGTAGTTTGAGCTGAGTTGGGTTCTGAGGAAGCAGCTCGAAACTTTCGGGACTTTGCGAAAGTCCACCGAGGATGAAGTCTTTGCACAACGCGGCTTTGTAAGGTCCTTGCAGCTTCCAGAGGCATTTCATGCTAAGCTCGGCAGCGTCCCTGAATCTTCCGAGATCTGGGCTCAAGCGATCAGGATGCTGGCGCGGGCTCACCACCATCCGGCACAGTAGCCAACAATAGCCAACCTGCATGACAGCTCTGCGTCGTGCGGGGCGCGAAGGTATTTGTTCAACGATGCACGTTGTACAGACGATCAGAGGCTGCAACACAACATGCGCCAGTGAGATTGCTGATGGCTGCCTACCCGATCCGGCTGCTGTACTTCCTCTTGGCAGGCAGCCGTCGTGTTGCAAGTCTTGCGGTAGTGGGGACCGATGAGCAGCAGACAATGTAATATATGAATATAGTCATGAGCATAAGTTTTTTTGGGACA